GACGCATCAGAATTTTCAAGATTTTGGTCTTCAATGACCTGTAAAGAACAAACATCAAGATGCAGTCGACTCTCAAATGCACTGATTAGTAGAGGAGACAATTCTCTATCACCTCAGACTTCACTCGTCCCAATATGTCGAATTGTTCCCGAGACATTGTCAAAATGGTAAAACTGGTCCATAAATAGCCTCTGACCGACCCCCCTCTCATTGTCACTTCTCTCCTCTCTCAGAATTACGTCCGAGCGGGCTGAAACTTTGGCTCTGTGGGTAAATTTGCAAGGGCTTTCTACTGGAATCATAAAAAGGGCATGTCAAAAATTTACTCATGTAATCGATGCTCGATCGAGTCATGGACCGTCTCTTAACTGCAAAACCCCCGCCGAGTTTCTCCTCATTCACCGATCATCCCCTTTTGCGATCGATTGTTGTCATTGTCATAGTAGAAACTCGGTTTGCTACGTTATCAACAGTTTGGTTTGGTGTCGTTCAAAAGGCTCGCAAACGTCTGACGGATTTCTTGGGCAACGATCAACAACTGTCAAACTTTATTTCGCTCTGATTAAACGAAGAAAATCGATTCAGTTTGTCTACGTCGAACAGAAAGGAGTCTCACACAATTGATAAGAGGTGAGAGTCGGTGAAGGTAATATCCTTCTCGTCCAACTCGGACGAATCTTAATTGTCTCAGATTTGATTTTGTTTGTTCATAAAAGAAATCCCATACAGACAAGTTCGACTGTGTGATGAATGGTATGATGCAGGACTTGTTCGCCCTACAAGCATGGAAAACAGAAAGCACTTTTCAATCCCATCTTGATGCACTGCTGCATTAGGGTGCTCTCCAGATCATGTCCGATCGGTGTCACTGGTTGATCAGCCATGAATGTTCGTTTGTGATCCAATCAAGCTTCCGTAATTCTGCTTCATGGCTCGGGTGAACTCACCTCACCGGTCAAATAATCAGCTAAGGCCACAACTGTTGTGGTGTTCATCCCAGTGTCAAAGGTTGACTTCTCATCGTTCTCGACGACGATTCTGACACTGGCTAATAGTTTCCTATACGCGCTCGAGGTCAAGACGGAACGTCCGACACTATTCACGATAGAACCAAATCAAAGATGACACGTTCAAGAGAAAACGCAAGTTCGACAGAAAAATCACGCTTCTGCAGATGTTCACCATTACGCGAATCTTCCGTACAGGTCTTCAATAGAAATAAATTTAATGATTAGAATTAGTCGAAATTGATATCGAAGAATATCAAGGTCTCGGCAATAGTAGCTTGAAGTAAGAAAGGAAAGATTCTCGTTTATTCTTTTTACGATCATAAAAGCATCTTTATCCTTTTCATTCAAACGAGGACAGTGATACTGTGCGATCGACCCATGCCTTGAATCCATTCGATTTCTTTGCTACTGAATTGGTTTTGTGCCGCAGAGATAAATCGGAGACTGTAAGCCGCATAAAGCGAATCCGGTAATTCTTTCAAGGCATTGTTGGACACGTCCAGAACGCGAAGTTTTCGTGCCGTACCAAGGGCGTCTGGAATAAAAGTGATATTATTTCTTGCCAACCGGAGTATTTCAGTTGCGTTCGAAACAATCGACATGAGGCCTTCCAGAGAAGTTAATTGGTTTCCACTCAATTCGATGTCCGACAGGTTAGGCAGAGATCGGGGAAGATGATCGATGGAACAGTTCGATGCATTTAACGTGGTCAACGATAGGGAACCACTGAGAGCATCGAGGGAGGTCAACGATGGATTACCGTGTAAGACTAACTCACTCAACACCCGCAACTTTCCTAAACTTTCGGGCAATGTCGACAACTGATTGCTGGCCAGTGTCAATTTATTCAGTGAAGATAATTGACCGATGGCTTCGGGTAACGTGAACAAACCACACGAGACAATGGAAAGGGTCTGCAGCTGTTTCAGACTGAAGAATTCCGATGGAAGACTCAATGAACCAGGGATGTCGAGCAGATTGACTGATGTGAGAGTGTCACTCAGGCGAGCGATTTCAGAAGGAATCGTCAGACCACTGCCAAGTTGGATGGTTAAGGATTCCAAATTCCTCAGGCAGAAAATTGACAGAGGAATGGTGTCTGATGCCACCAATGTGAGTCCAGTGACGTATTCTTCACCGGCTACACGAGCAAAGGAAGCGACAGGCGTGCCACTATCTGGATTGATTGATACCCAGAATGGTAGTGATTGAATGATTGCCTTCTCGGACGCATAGACGGAACAATCGAGATCCGAGCCTAGGGACAAACATCGATTCGATCCGAGAATCGAGTTCTCCTGATCGTCGTATTCCTACCTGATACAGACAACGATGCTGCGAATAGAAGCGTCAAGACGAATGTTGTTCTTGCCATACTGATCGATTAACTGGAAGAAAAAAGGATCGACGCATCTGAAATCTACATCATCAGGAGTGTTTCTCATCGCCTAACCTCTTTCACTCAATGCCTATTCAATACACGATGTGATTTTAACCGGAGTGTCTATCGATAAATAGCGACCTGATCCCATGTAAAAAAATAATCAAAAGTAATGATTATTGTTGCATTTCAATCTGATTATTTGATTATTTGATAGATTATAATCGACTTTAACTGATTTTATCATGGAGAAAATCGATTGTAATCAGTTTATAATCAAATAATCAGATTGAAATGCAACATTTGTAATCATCGTTTTTACATGGGATAACCCAGTGCAGATGGTTGAAGAATCCTTCTTTCCATTGATAGCGCCGGTGACTTCGTTTCGAAAGTGGGTTCCTCAATCGATCCATCTGTTTTCGACTGGGACTTCCGAGAATCGATAGCGATGATCGTTCCCTCGCTCTCTGCTTCTTTCTGATTCTGATGAACAGCAAAAAAGATCGGGAGAATATATTTATGTGATAGGGAATCGAATTGAACAGTTGTCCTCATTCGATTGAATCTAATCTCAATTGGTTTCAATGTCAAATCGTTGAACTCGATGATTTCTGTGATCGACGATGTAGAGATTGCCATGTCGATCGAACGCGAGACCCGATGGTCGATTGAGCTGATTTGCTTGTTCGCCGCAACTGTATCCACCTGCCAGTTGTATCACTCCATTGTGCCAACGTACCGCTCGATGGTTGAGCAGATCAGCCACGTAGACTCGACCCAACTGATCGACGGCGATACCGTTCGGAGAGCCTAGCTGTGTCCAATCAAATCCCGGTCCTCGTCCACCAGCGACAATCGTTCCTTCAGTCGCATTTCTCTCCCACTTCATCACACGATGATTGTAAGTATCTGTCACGTACACCGATTGATCTTCATCGACGACAAGGTAGGTGGGAAATGAAAGTTGATTGAGTTGATTGCCCTTTCCGTTGCCACCGGCCACGAGAGTTCCCTGTTTGTCTCCCGATAGATATCGTCTCACTTCGCCCTTCTGACAGTCGGAAACGTAGAGACATCGTTGATCATCGAGAAACAATTGAGTACAATCGATGTCGTCGAGGATCACTTCTTGGCTTTTGTCCTTTTGACGAAAACAGCGTATCACTCGTCGATTCTCCATGTCGGAAATAATCAGACTGTCGGTGTCTTTGTCCACGATCACATAGGTTGGATGATTCAATTGATTGAGACGATTTCCTCTTCCGTTTCCTACGGCCACCACCTCACCTTGTGTCGCCTGCCATTTCCATTCGATAATCCGATGATTGCCCCAATCTGCAACGTACACCGTTTGATCGTCGTCGACAAACAATCCGAAAGGATTGGAGAGTTGATTCAATGCATCGCCTTGATCGTGACCTCCAGCAACGGTCAACGCATTTCGTGTCCATCGTGCAGATTGACTCAGGTTCGGAAGAGGTCGCGCTGAAATTAGAGAAGACAGAGTTACAGTCGTTCGAAGACATCGAAGGTGACTCACGCCAAAGTGTTCGTTTTCCTGTAAGTTGAGCCATGCGTTCTTCACAATCAAGACGAAACTTTTGCAATTCTGCTTGGTGTTTCTGCTTGAGTTGTTCGTTCTTCTCTCGTGCTTGACGCAATTGTTCATTGACACAGATCAATTCAGTGTGTTGTGTACTTGCATCACCTCGCTGATAAACAATCTGACAATCGGTGCAGGTCAGCCGAATCGACGGGCACTACATTTCATGTTCGAGCCATTCTGTACGCAACATCGGTGATTCACAGCCCGAACATTGCTCAGGTCGGTAATCACACTGCCGTTCGTGTTTCTCCAAGGCTTCGTAGGAAACAACTTCCGGACAACCTGCGGATTGATAGGCACACGTGATTTGTAATTTAGCCAAGTTCTTCACGATGAATCGAGAAATCGGTTGTGGAACGAATCGGCGACATCGCATTGGACATTGATCGGGATTGACGGTGTGCAACGTGCCGATGCACGTCGCACAGAAAGGAGTCTCACACGATTGACAACTGATGGGTTTCCAAAGGATATTCTGACAGATCGGATCCTCGAACACGATCGGAAGAGAGTCCGTCTTCGCCTGTCGATTGCATCTCAACAAATGTCTCAACGACATCGCAAGCGTCCTTTCGCCATGGCATATTGACATGACTCATGGGGGAAAATGTCATTGGATACCCGGGGATTATTAACATGATGTCATGTCTCCTTCTCGTTCAACTCGCACGAATCTTTATTTTCCATGGAGTACATCCCATACAGACAAGTGCCGAGTTCGATCGACAGGTGGTGCGTAGTGATAGTGCTCGCAGCCGAATGCCTGAGGTCCCACTCGGCTGAGCCTCTTCGGTGTTGTCATTTGTTCTGGGGCATGAAACAGCAAGACAGAAATACGACATCCTTTTTTCGGTCTGAATCGGGACATGACCTTGAGCGAAGCCAGCCGTTGTGTGTCGTTCAACATCGACCACCCTTCCATTCGTGACCAGAACTCGACCTTGACCGCTTCAGCGACCGCCTGAATGACGTCGGTCGGATGGCTGAATTTCGCTCGACCTACGGTAATCGAAGTTATGATCGATATAGAAACTCAGCTCGTTACTGACCGGAGAACCAGGCTCATGAAAGAGTGTGATGAATGGTATGATGTAGGTTGGAAGAGGGTAGGTCAATGTTGTCTACTCACCCTCAAGACCATCCGTATTCATGTTCATGCGTGGAGCAAAGATCAGTGGGGATCGATACAGATATGACATAAGCCTGAAGATGACTATTCAAGCAATAGTCAAACGCGTCGACTATTTACTTTGAATCAACGTTTTCTCTATCAACTCATCTCTCATTTAATTTCCCGTTCCACGTTCATTTTCCGAAGTAATTTTCATGCAAGACTGAACATCTTTACTGAACGGAAACGGTCGCTTTTGCTGATTGCTTAGCGCAAAGTAGAGTGCCATTTTTCTCCTCTTCTATCTCAATACTTGGTCATAGAATAGAGAAAACCCTGCCTGCATCGGTGTGTTCTTAGTGTCAAGCATTTCATCAGAAAAAAGGGAAAAGTAAGCTGATTTATCTGCTGTTGGTATCCACCTGATTGCTTTGCTTCACGAGTGGAAACAAAGGATCGAAAGGCAATCGAAGTTTCGTGTTCACTTGGCTGAAGTCTATTCATGGTCAAACGATGTCTTCGACCTTCGACGATCTGTTCGACACTCAACTCAGTCGGAAGCCGAACTCGATGGACAGTTCTCTCTGAACTCTATTTCGTTCGGAGCTGTGGCTGAGGGTCGGATCGAATTCGGTCATTTCTCGAGTATCTTCTCGACGACATCAGAAGTCGCCTTCGACGAGAAACTGCACGAGAACGAGGAACTCTTCAAAGCACACTTTCGAGCAGCTCATCAGACAACGACGACTCGTTCATCTCTGATGATGACGACGAGTGAAAACAAAGCTTACCGGTCGATCGTCCTCGAAAGTGATACGACATAAGATCAACATCGAACAGGTGATTTACAATCCTCATCGCATCTTCGAGAGGCGTTCCATGAACGAAATCCATTGATTCTCAAGACGCTACGCGAACAAGTGTTTCAATATCACATCCTCACCCATTATGGAAGATCGAGAATGATCAACCGTCCATTGATGATCTGTTCGATTGGAAAGGACGTGACAAGAACGAACGGGAAATGTTAGCACTGCTCCTCACGTCAGTGAAGTGAAACATGTCAGAATGTTCAATCGACCATCTAGTTACTTCAAACGAAGAAGAAATTCTTCACCAAACAAAAGATGAGCAAGCAAGGTATGAAGAGCATTCAAAGATACGTCGAGAATACTGGCACCTTGGTGCCAGGACAACTCGAGGGTGTACTCCTCGATTAGTCAAACCCATTGTCTTTCTTCGTTTCGGGCTGCCTGCTGTACAATTGAGGTCGAATAGAGGTACCGCGATGATTTCGCGCTTTGACTGCATCAGAAAGTGCGATTAACCTGGGTAGTGAAGGTGAAAATTGGATCGATCGAGGCATTTCTGACCACTCGATTTCTCTTGTTGATCAGGTGGCTTTGACGTTCCTGTTGCATCAACCGGTTGGTTCGATCGAGGAGAAAAGTAAGAGGAATCGACTTCGTCACCAATGGCGCAGGTGTGAAGAGTATCTCTTCTCTCTCTCTCTTATCGATCTGTGGACTTTAGGAATCGGTTCGGTCGATGATCCAATTCATCTTTCAGTTCGTTATCGACCATCTCGTCTCTCGACATCCGTTTGAGGTGCACCCGTTCAGCCTGTTCCGAACCATCATGCCTGAGATCTTGAGGGTCGAGCAAGGTTTTGCTTTCTGTGTTCGAATATTCCGGATAGGCCCTCATCCATTGTGCAAATGTTCAATTTCGACTCGGAGATTGTTCGGGAAGAGAACGTCAACTACCATGATTCTTCTCGGTTGGAATGGCCTTGAAAGAAAGATGACGTTTGGGTTTGAACGGTGGAAAGATCAGCGAATCGACCTCCAAGGTACGAGAGAGAAGATCTTGAGCATCCTTCGAGACGATGGTTCCGGTGAGACCAAATTCGTGGTCACAGTCAATGCTGTCATTGTTAGTCCATGTTTGATTGGAAGAAACTGCTGAAGACCATCACGTTAAGTTGTACTCGATTGAACAGCACTCGTCTTGGAGCAATCGGTCAAGAATTGTCTCATTTGTTCAATGATAGCCTTGTGGCTGCAGGCTGTTCTGAATCGATGCCACGCCAATGCCGTCGATGATCACCGCATCGAAGCGACGCGAACAACTTTGATTTGTCTTTGTCCATGCATTGTCCTCGAATGAATCATCTCACTCGATCAAAAAGAAGAAAACAATGTTGGGCAAATGTCGTTTGACCGTGTGTTCAACAGACTGAATTGACGTCGACAACATCAGCTTGATAACACTCTTTCACTCCTGAAGTGCCACTTGTCTGATCATTGTTGTGCGACACGGTAACAACGTATTCATCATCGATTTGCCTTCACCGAGCAAGATTTCAATGGGTCGCGCTCGTTTCATTACGGCGATCATTTCGGATCTCATCGGTCGATCTTTGGATTGGGTTGTTGAAATTCGGACGGGAATATTCTTCTCTGAACTACTGGAACCCAAACACTGCTCGATCCCAATCCAATGCGATTTCCGAGTCTTGCCAAGAGGCAACAAGTGAATTGACTTCATCAATGATTCGAAGTCAGCGGTACTCTGTCGGTGGTGAACAGATGGAGAAAGGTCGAAAGATCATGTCCGCTGATCGAACGGTTCGCAGACACAAGTCGATGAACACAGACGAGAATTGTTCTTGTTCAGTGAGAAGTGGAAACAAATCTTCATCAGCTAATCGGATTGATTTGAATGGAGAATCTTCAACGGGGTGTCCGTCAATCCGTGTTCGCGTAGATGAGAATGCCAGTGATCGTGCACAGAGTCACGTCGATCGTCGCAGATCTCAAAGTCATTTCTGATGCGTTCGAATTCTGTCAGATGTTGGTAGAAAGTGATCATTCCTTCGTTCGTTGGTAAAAGATCGAACCACGGTCCCCGAAATCATCTCCGTCAAACTTCATTCATCTGACGAGAATCTTTCTCTTCTCTCTGTACAACACAACGTCATTTCTTTCAATGGAACAACCGCACAAATCTCCTCGATCAATCGATGCGAATACCTCCGAACATTCACCAATGGTCAAATTCACCTCTTTCTCAATTTAGAAACTTCACCGATTCACTACCATCGGATCTGTATCGATGATCCCACTCGACTTTGTTTCCGCGATGACATCTATCTCTGTATTTGTACCGACAATAACACTCGAGTGGAATGTTTTCTCTCCAATGATCAACTCGATCACTGTTCATTTCATTTTGTCGCGCTGAGGGTCGCTGTTTGAGAGGAGATCTTCACCGATCGGATGATTTTCTTTGTCTCTCTCTCGATCCTCTCCTCTAGTCGACGATCTTTTTTGTCAACTTCTCGGTTATCTTGTGACCTGCTTGCTTCGTCTCAGTCCGTGGCTTTCGTCATTCGTTGTGCGTGAGCGTGTTTATTCAGTCGTGTTTTTCAATCGACATTGGTTCCAACAGCCTCACATTGCTCGTTCTCTGATGTTATGGATTGTTGCTTTAGTCCTTATTTCTACTGCCTATGAACTTGGCTTTGTCAAATCCTTGACCGGAATTGAAGATCGAATATTCCTTGATCAGATCATTTCCGTCAGTCATGTTTTGTTTCCCTTATCGATCAATCTCTGTTCAACATTTCTCTTCCCGAAATCAGAGTGATTGTCGAGAATCTCAATCATTTGAGAACAGCTGAACAGTTCGTCAGCGAACATATCGCTCACTTGAACGAAGATCGCACTCGAGTCGTGAGCGAGATCGTCGAGAAATACTCCCGAATGGACATGAGCGACTATCCGCTCGATCCATCGAAGGAAATCATCGAGAAGTTCGGCCAAGTGGATAAAACAGATTCCGCGTATCTGGAAGCGTTTGAGAAAATCCAAAGGATCATCTTCAAGATGTTTCGAGAAGAATTAGAGAAAGCGAAAAAAAAACAGCCACCCGATGCGACGAACAGTGACATCCGACGATTCGAGTCGTCCGTGATGGATCTGGCCGAGAACATCAGATACGTGATGGAAGGCGAGCTGCACGAGGGAAAGAAGGAGATCGACCAACTGATTCAAGACAAGATAACGAAGACGTGCGAAACATCCAAAGTATCCTCGAAGAAGATCGCAAGTCACCCGAACTAAAGTGTTTCGTCAACGAATTCAAAGTGTGCGTTTTGCAGCAGGTGCATCAACTCGTGAGGAAGATCGATGACTATGCCAAGGAACATCAGAGGCGGTGTGAAATAGCCTTGAAAGACATCGATAGACGACGCACAACAATTGCGAAACATCGATCGATGCGAAGAAGGTTCACACGGAATGTCTGAAATCGGTTCGCGCGAAGATTCAAGCACTGTGTGCCAATTGTGAGACGCTCTCGAGGCGCTGCGTTAATACGGGGCGAATACGAGCAATTCGATCTCTTCTACTGTCATTTGATCTCCATTCGACAGGAGGTCAACGCTCTCCATTGCAATGTCCAACCGAG